TTAAATGTACAATTTCCCATCTTTGCATTTTGACACATCAACAACCGCGTAATGACAGCACGCAGGTGCAGACTGACGTAAGCGTCTGTACTCTGTAGCTGACCTACCGTCATAAGCTAATAAATCACAGAGACTGTCATATCTCTCCTGTTTTACAAGTGCTAAATTAATCAACTATTAGATGTTTTACGGTGGATCACTGTGCTTCCGTATCGTCATTAAGCACACCGGCTGAAAATTTAATACCTACAGCCACTTTACGGTAAAATTTAAGACAATTTAAGACCTTAATTTCCCGGATTTTAATTTAAGACATTTTAAGACTTTTTAAGGACCCGCGGGAACCCTGTATTTTTTAACCTAATGATTATTAATGTGTTTATGTGGTTTCTAGGGTGTTCTGGTGATTATCAGGGTGTTGCTACGTTTTTTTTTTTTTTTGTTTAAGTGACTTTGATGTATTGCTATGCAGTTGCTTGGGTGTTTGGAGCGACTGCTGCAGTGTTTCTAGGGCTTCTATGGCATTTTCTGGGTGTTTCTACTCCGCTGGTTTTAGGTGCATACCTTTGCAGTTTTGGGCGGTTTAGTGCATTGCCGTGGTACTGTTTTTCCCACATCCTTTTATAGTTATCTCAATTCTCTTTCTAGTGTTGTCAGGTCTTTGGCTTCCTGTGAGCGTTGTTTTAAAAAAATGTTACTATGGGTTTTTTCTTGTTTTTGTTTAACCAATAGACATCTTCTCTTTCTCTCTGCCAGTCTTATAGCTTTATTCTGAGCTCCTCTGAATAGTGACAATCAGCCTTTAGACCTCAGCAAATCAGCTATAATCAAAACCATCAGCATTCACCGCACTGCACTGATATTTTATTGATTGTAAATCAAGAGAGCTTTACAATCCAGCTATTCATGCACACACATCGACACACAAACACATATGGCTCTATTAAGAAACTCACAAATTCTCTAATAATGTCATCAGAATTAGATCTGTTACCAGGGTCATGTCGTCATTTTTTCCCAGATGGGATTTAATGACATCTCTGTTGATTCTTTCATTAAATCAACATGTCAGGCAATTGCTGAGAGCCACAGTGAGCTGGATCTTCACAGAGAGCTGCTCAAGTGTGCAGTCGAGCAACTATAGCAAAAGTTTTATAATTGTGCGTTCAAGTCAGACGTGGATGAAACATCAAGTTTGTAAAGTGAGTGATTTACAAGTTGTCAATGCAGAGGTGCGAATAGACATCCTGCGGCGCCACAAATGACAGTGTTTTTGTGCGTTTGACTTGCGAAATGTAAAGATCACTTGAGTTGGAAAATCTGAACTTTAGCAGACTAAGGGTGCTTTCACATCTGTAGTTCGCTTCATTCGGTCCGCACCAAGGGCAATAAATGATGCATTGTTGCATCTTCTGCCGTCTTTGGGTCGTTTTCACACCACACTGCTGGCTTTGGTCCGAACCAGTTGAAATGAACCAAAATGCGGTCATCTGACAAAATCCACATCTCTCATTGGCCAGATGTTGTTGAACATATTTCCTAAACTGCTTATTGATTGGTCAGAATTCATGTGCGGGAAAATGGCAATGAACTCCCGCAAGTAAACAAAACCAGCAGACACAAAATGTCGATTTTTATTATGGAGGGACGACTGCGCTCTCTGATTGTATGCCTGCTTTAGACAAACTATACATTTCGAGAATGAAGCGTGGCCGGCTGGAAAACAGGGTTTTAATGCATCGCTCGTCACTTCAGGAGGAGACGTGAATTAATTTAGCTAAACTGCGACATGGTCATCTTGCGGAAATATTACCAACGATCCATCAGCTAATGTTTTCCCCTCTCCCTCTCTATCTGTTGGTAAAGCGCTGTCAACAAATATTTTTCCTCAATATCCTATAATGCACAGCACATCGGCCTACGGCAGCTTAATTGGTCCAAAAGGCGCAGTACTTTTTGCGGTTGGACCTGTTTTAGTACGAATCATATTCTCAACACAAACGAACCGCTCCAGGTTTCGTTTGAAAGCGTACCGAGACCACCTCTTCAAGCAGGTCTTGGTACGCTTATTTGGTCCGCTTTCGGTGCGCACTCGAGTACGATTGCTGCATTCTCACCTGCCCAAAAGAACCATACCAAAAGGGGAAACGAACTCTAGTGTGATTCAATTAAACTAAATAAGGCAGGTGTGAAAGCACCCATAATCTCTTGTAGGGGTGTGATTATGATGTAGCACCTGTTGTTGCTGTCCCGAAGGGAAATCCGCCAGCCGACACCAAACAACAGTTCATCAAATTGGGCTTGGCTCAGTCAGAAGCACCTCTGAAAGCTTCCACCATCCAGGTATAGTTTCTGAAGGAGTTGATTAACTTACAGAGCTTGTTGCATCTCTGAAAGGATCTAGTGGACTCGGCACCGAATTAATATACGCTGTTTTACAGCTTCCTTCAAGCACATAAAGCACAGCTACTCCTTCAGTAAAATCCATGTTAGCTATTTAGGAACAAAGCTAGAGTCAGTGGGCAGTCAGAAGTTTGTTTAATTTATAACTGTGCGTTTACACCTGATACGGATGAAGCATCAAGCACAGAGACGCGAATAGTGAGTAAACTCAAAATGTTTGTGTCTATTTATGAGCGAATAGCGCAATTAATTCGCACATGCCGCATCTGATGTGAACAGCATACTGAAAGATACAAATCTGTTTTCATGTGTTTTGCTTTCTCTTTCTGTTTCCTAAAAGTTCAATGCATACATCCTGCAGCGCTATTCACATGAATAATGCAGTGCAAGTGATGTGATATGCGCAAATGAAGTGGCACGAGTTGAGCATTTTGTGCATTTGACTTGCGAAACGCAAACCGATTGAGTTGTAAAATCTGAAATTTAGCACATTAACCAATCAGGAGCTTGCTCCTGTAAGGGCGTGATTATGAAGTAGCGCCTGTAGTTGGTGTCTCGAAGGGAAATCCTTTTGCTGACACCGAACAACAGCTTATCAAAATGGACTCGGCTCAGGTTATAGATCTCAATATCTATATTGATATAATATCTAGTTTTCTTAGCAGAAACATCCAAAAAACTGTTAAAATCCACATGAAATCAAAATTAATAATGCCGATTTTGCTAGCAATTAATCAGTGCAAGTTACTCCACTGAAAAAAAACTGTTTGTTTTGGTAATTTAAATAGCCACGCCTCTCCAACCGTTTGCTGCGAGTTAAATATGAGAGGAGGAGCACACACATAAAACCCTGCCTCTTACTCAATAGTCCAATAAATTTCCAGTACACACCGACTTTAATACTAACAAGTAATAGTGCCGCACATAGTACCACTAACCAAACCTGTCAACCCTCCCGTTTTTCCCTGGATTCTCCACTATTTTAGTTTTTTCCCGCTATCATCCTGTAAAGGTATTTTTCTGTATTTATCTTTCTCTGTGGGAATAAACATTAACATTATAGAGCCGATCCTCCCTATACCCATACCGCCGAACCACCAGAGGAAACCCTTGCTCTTAAATGTGAGTCTGTTCTGTGCTTTAATTTTATTTAGGCCTAAAAACACTTTGCGTCCGAAGCCGCATTCTTCCATACTATACAGTACGCTAAATCCAGTATGCGAGCAGAGGAAGTGCGCATCCCATGCCCTGTGAGAGAATTCATGAATGGGAGTGAAGTGATGCAACTAACGCAGGTAGGTCACGTGACCATGACAAAATGGCGGATGTAGTACGTCTAAATTCCATTCATGCTTCTTACATTCATACTGTATAGAACATACTTTTCTAACGAAAAATTAGTACTTTAAAATTCAAATGTAGTACCCACTGAGTAGTAGGCGGTTTCGGACGCAGCCTTTGAAATAAATATAAAAACGGCAGGATTCCCTTTCCTTTTTATGACAGCAGCCATCACCCCTCATATGCAATCCTCAAAACACTCATATAGCAGTGCGTGACTGTCAGCTGACAAGCTCCATAGTGATAAATCGCAACTGTTTTTCAAATGGATTCTGTACATGGGATTTGAAGCAGAGCAAAAGTCTGGGTTTTGGGTGCATGGTTGAACAGTCGAATACACATAATTAATGATAATAACATCTAAAGCAGTGCTTAATTTGTGAATTGCAAAGTCCTGGAACAGATCGGGGTAACGGATCCGGCATGTTACCTGAAAATGGAGAGGGGTTGTTGGATGGCGGAGGGTTGTCGTGGAGAAAGACGAAAGTGAAGAGTGGAGGGTTGTTGCAGACAAAAGTGAAGAGGGTTGGGAAGTCGCAAAAAAGAAAGTGAAAGTCAACATCGGATGGGGGAGGAGAGGGCGGTTGAGGATGGGGATCGGTAAAATAAGGTGCCGGAAAAGATTTCAGAGGTGCCAGATCTGGCGTGTTACAGCACAAATTAAGCCCTGATCTAAAGATGTCGATCTTGTTTTGTTTTTGTTTTTTTAAACACAACTAATTTTGTTCTGAATGAGCATAAAAGGTTAGACAAGCAATCGAATGCTTTCATTATAACTTCAGATATGTGCATTATTAAAGTGACACCTAATATTTAATGTAATCAAACGGAAAACCCAAATGAGATTCATTCATTGCTCTTTAATCAGAATGTGTACGTTATACAGTGAAGAAAAGATCCATGAGATTTGATAACTTGATTCTATTTCTTTATAATAGCTATTCATTTTTATAAGCTAAACTGTTTGCTAATTTAATTGCTGCTAATGTATACTATTTATTTTTTTCTTTTGTGAATAATAATAATAAAACATATTACTGAATGTTATTAACAATGAAACAGCTCCAGAAGAACATAATCAGTAATTTAGAATTTATTTTTAAGGAGGGGTTATCCCTTATATTATAGTGGGCATATCCCTTATTTTTCCCTTACCAAAACTGAGAATGTTTCACACATTATGTTTTTCTGTACCAAATCCAGTGCAGCTGGGTTAGCATTTAAAAGGCATTAACAGATGTTTGTTGGTAACTCACATTGTGTTCTGGTCCTGTTTTGTCGACTGCGGACCTGCTCTGACCAGAGTGTAGGATACTGAGAGATGATGTCTAAAACACACACACAAATGTACAAAACATTAGTTCTGCTCCAAACCCTACTGAGAAATGCATTTAAACCCTTATAAAAAATACTATAGTATTTTTTTGCAAATTATATACAGTTGAAGTCAGAATTATTAGCCCCCCTATGATTTTTTTTTCTTTTTTAAGTATTGCCCAAATGATCTTTAACAGAGCAAGGAAATTTTCACAGTATGTCTGATAATAGTTTTATTTCTGAGAAAAGTCTGATTTGTTTTATTTTGGCTAGAATAAAAGCAGTTTTTAATTTATTTTTTCCGTTTAATTAATTTAATTTATTAAAAACTCATTTTAAGGTCACTTTAAGCAATTTTTTTTTCTCGAAAGTGTACAGAACAATCCGTCGTTATAAAATAACTTGTCTAATTACCCTAACCTGCCTAGTTAACCTTAATTAACCTAGTTAAGCCTTTAAATGTTACTTTAATCTGTATAGAAGTGTCTTGAAAAATATCTAGTCAAATGTTATTCACTGTTATCATGGCAAAGATAAAAGAAATCAGTTATTAGAAACGAGTTATTAAAACTATCATGTTTAGAAATGTGTTGAAAAAAATCTTCTCCGTTAAACAGAAATTTGGGGAAAAAATGGGGCGAATAATTCAGGGGGTCTAATAATTCTTGAACTGTAGCTTTTGAACCATACTATAGTAAAGTGTATTGTACTGTATATTATTATTAGTTATATTATTATTATTATAATTAATGAGGATCTTAATTTGCTGGCATTTTTTTATCATTATTATTTTTTTTGTAGCATGCGTTTTCCTTAATTGCTCGCTCGGCCACTGTACATTTCTCTCATAGGCAACTGAATCAAAAGCTCTGAGACAATTGAAAAATACCAGCACACTTCTGTAATGGAATCAATCAAATTACCGCAACTGATAAATTCAAGTATTTTACTATAGTATTGTTCAAAAACACAATTTACTATCAATTACCATGGTATGTTTTTTAATGTGAGAAAACACTCACCTTCCTCGTCAACCGACGGCTGCGACTCCACTACTAAAACCGTCGACGGATCTGCGTTTAGAATGGAGAAGATTTGCAAGGAAACTACAATTACAAGTGTCAGCTAAACAGTCACATCTCATAAGCCTTGACGCATTTGCACATTGCCCGGCCAGGACAGATTAAAGGTGTAGAAAAACAGAGAAGAAAGAGGATAAACTCAAGAACACAATCAGGCAGAGAAGATGGGAAAGGAGGTTAAGTGGTTATAATCGACTCGCTGAAAGAAAAATACAGTTTAAACAGTCAATATCTTTGTCGTTATACAGAGTGTGGTCAAATATTGATTTCTGCAAATGGATGGAGTAAAAATGGCTGTAAAAAGTTAAGATTGAGTAAGTAAAAATTAAATAAATCAGCAACATAATGCAGAGGTAAAGTAAAGGTTGTTGTGAGTTTTGCAAATAAATGGCAAATGTGTGCTGAAATAAAGTTTGAAGCAGAAAGCAGAAACTTAGACAACACACTAATGTTTTTTTTTTATTTACAAATTATTTATTTATTACAGAATTATTCTTATATTGTTAGATTTTTCTCCTTTTATAAAAATATTAGCTTTAAAACAGAAATATAAATATCAAACTTACAGATTTTATTTTCCCTTTTCTGTGACAATGCATCCAGACATGTAAGACATAAATTAAATTAAATTTAATTAAGTTAATTATTTGCTTAAATTGTATTAAATTAAATTAAATTAAATTTAAGCCTTTAATAATGAAATTAAATAATAAATTAAAATAAATTGTAAAGTTAATTTAATTTAATTTATGTATTTTTTGTTAAATTTAATTTAATTTTAATATTTAATGAAAATATATTCTTAAATTTAACCCTTTAATAATTAAATTTAATATTAAATAAAATAAAATAAAATAAAATAAAATAAAATAAAATTAAATTAAATTAAATTAAATTGTACTATTTAATAACAATATATTCAGCCTTCAATAATTAAATTAAATCAAAATATTTAATGGCAATACATTCTTAAATTTAAGCCCTAATTAATTAGATTAAATTAAAATAAACTTAAATAAATCAAATTGTAATGTTTAACAAAAATATATTCTTAAATTTAAGCCCTAATTAATTAAATTAAATTAAATTAAATTAAACTGTAATATTTAATTGTAATATTCGTAATAGAATACATGCAAACACACACACACACACACAGAGTGTTTGTATGATGTTTATGTGTGCAGATGGGGATGAAGGAAGATCTCTAGATGGGTTGTTGCTAGAAGGGATACTTCTGCGTCTTGAAGTTAATGGGAATTATTTATATAATTTATTAAATTACCCATAATTTGTATTTTATTAGCGTCTGCCCCTACTACAACCCTAAACCCAACCATCACGCTAATGTAAAAGCAGTAATTATAGAGTATTATTCATATTATTTATTAAATCTTCCATTTAATTGTATTTTATTATCATCTACCCAAACCCCAACCCTTAATCCAACACTACACTGATGAAAAAGCAGTAATTATACAGAATATTATTCATATTATTTATTAAATTACCCATTAAATTGTATTTTAGTAACCACTACCCCTACCCCAACCCTAAACCCAACCATCACTGTAATGTAAAAACAGTAAATATGTAAATGTTTTTATTCATATTACTGATTAAATTATCTATTAAATTGTGTTTTATTAACATTTACCCCTACACCAACCCTACACCAAACCATCAGACTAATGTAGAAGCAGTAATTATACTGTGTAAAACTAATATTATTTATTAAATTACCCATTTAATTGTATTTTATTAACATCTACCCCTACCCCAACCCTAAACCCAACTATCAGACTAATGTAAAAGCAGTAAATATACAGAGTATTATTCATGTTATTTATTAAATTACCCAATAAATTGTATTTTATTATCATCCACCCCTACCTCAGTTCTAAACCCAACCATCACTGTAATTTAAAAATATTAATCGTTGTTGTACACTATCACAATAAATGTTTTCTATACTGATGTGAGTATCCACAGCTACATAGAAAGGAAAACAGTGTGCAGACGTCTAAGAAAATCTTAATGGCAGGTGCTCGATCAAGTCAAATGCAATGAAAAAAAGTAAAAATAATCAGCACACTGCCACTTTAGCTCTTGAAAGACAAATAAATTGGACAACGTTTGGATCTATGAGGCCTTTTGAGAGCTAAAATGGCAATTTGCCGATTTTTCTTACTTTATCCACAGCTGTATCCCCTCTAGACTTTACCCTGTAGATGCTTTGGCCACAGGAATCTGAAATGCTGAGAGGTGTGGTTAACCTCAGCAGGGTTAACTCAGTAGAGGGCAGGAGACAAACTGCCCCTTCTCTTTCTTTTTTTTTCGGTATGTGTTTTTCTACCAGCATCTTTGGGAAACGATTGGGGAAAACCACTGTCAGCACTCTGATGAAGTGATAAAGCATTGCGGGATCACACCATGTTATTTATATGACTCTACAGTTTCAGTCAAGCTTAACACATCTATGCTTTTGCTTTTTATTTGATAGCACCGACAGGAAAAAGTACACAGTTAAAAGGCTGGGTTCCACTCAATTCCTTCATGTTGTCCCAATACAATCAATTAAGTTAACTATTAAGTTAACTAGTTAAGTTTTTAGTATTTTTAGGTGGATTGAACATAAATGAGATGGAGAAGACGTAGGATTGAGAAATAACAGGACGACATGGTGGCTCAGTGCTTGGCACTGTGGCCTCTAAGCAAGAAGCTTGCTGGTTCGAGTCCTGGCTGGACCAGTTAGAGTTTCTGTGTGGAGTTTGCAAGTTCTCCCCATGTTCGCGTGGATTTCCTCCGTGTCCAAAGACATGCACTATAGGTGAATTGAATAAACTAAAATTGGCTGTAGTGTATGAGAGTGTGTGTTAATGTTGGAGTGTATGGTGGTTTCCCAATACTAAGTTGTGGCTGGAAGGGCATCCGCTGCATAAAACATATACTGAAATAGTTGGCGGTTCATTCTGCTGTGGCGACCGCTGATAAATAAGGGACTAAACGGAGGGAAAATAAATAAATGAATGAAAGCAGGGCTCAACAATAAGGACTGCCCGGTGGCCCAGGGCCAGCGTGAGAGACACTTGGGACAGTAGTCAGGATCATTACTGGCCCGATTAGGACAGTGCTGCCTTGTCACTAAAGTTTAATTTGCCTGCGACTTTTTGTCAATTGCGTGCACTTAAATTTGTAAAAACTAATAAGTTTAATTAATTCCTTCATGTTGGCCCAACACAAATCAGTTATGTGGAATCAAATTTCCTTCTTTTGAACTTGCGTGGAATATGTGATTGAGGCAAATTCTGTGTGTTTGTGGCAAGCACATTCATTTATTTGGTGTCATTGCTGGGAAATCTGCTTTAATTCAAAGTTTGCATTGAATTGTATGTAATCTACTGGTGCAGATACTTTAAATTACTTTTTTTTCTTTGTACAAACATTAGTTTAAATACCAAATATTATTATTAATTAATGGCTTTATGCCTGCCAATTATGAAAATATTGCCTGTTTATTAGTACTTATAAAGTACATATTCTGCTTTAATCATTTTCCCCACTTGTTACTTGACATCATTTTGATCTCAAGTAATGGACCCTTTTCATAAGCCTATTGTGACACAATTAATGGTCATCAGTATCTTAAATTCTTGGAAGTTTTTAATATTTAGATTTTTTTAATGTATGAACATTTTCATGTATTTATGTATGTATTATATCATCTTTATTTTAATTTACAAAGAGCAAATTACCGCTTGTGCGGTATTATTATTATTTATTTGTATATTCATTTACTTTATTTTTTTTTATCAAAAACCTCTTCAGAATAGGTAAGACATGTAAGGAAGAAAATTCTCTAGATGAATTTACTCTGAAAAAAAAAGACATTCCCCTTGAAACAGATAGAAAAGTCCAAAAAGTGAAGAGATGATCTAGAGAAAAGAAGGAAATTAGAGTCATTAGCAGTGCATGAGCAGAGTCTTCATCTGGAAAGAAGAGAATGACGTCCAGGTGAAGTGCTTAATGTTCACTGCGCTTCTGTGACAAAACCGTGAGCCCTTCGATTTGGTTTTAACGACTGTGAAAGGCAAAGGCTGTTATTATGGCGTCTCTCTGTTTAACGACTCCAACATACGACCATTTACTTTCAGCCCTGAAGCAACTTCAGCACTCGCACTTCACAAAATATTAGACAGGCAAGCCATAACTTGCTGTACACACACATGCACACACACACAAACATTAAACGAAGCTGTCAGTACAGACTGTCCCTCATGAAAGCCTTTAACCATATCAAAAAAACAAAAGTAAAAAATAATCATTTAGTGCATTTACCTGATTTTCCTGGTTCCTTCGGATTTACTTTACTGTTCTTAGACCCTGAAATTGAACAAAACAATCACAGATTAATAAAAGTTTGTATATTGAATCTAAACAAACTGATAATTAAAATTATACACATTCTAAAAGGACTTTGCACACTGTAAAAAAAATGTAAGCCAGTACATAAGAAAAACACAACCCATATTTCCTTTTGCATTTTCTTGTTCACTCAACTTTTCAAACATCAGTTGCACTGACCTAAAATTATCTGTCAGTAATACAAAAAACATTTAGTAGGGTTATTCATTCATTGATTCATTGATTCATTGATTCATTCATTTTCTTTTTGGAACCGCCAACTTATCCAGCATATATGTTTTATGCAGCGGATGCCCTTCCAGCTGCAACCCATCTCTGAGAAAATTGGTGTTCCTATTATTTTTGTCAGTGTTAGCATTAGAAATACTGCAACCTTTATTTTTTCATGAGAGTAGGTCTGAGATTAACTTCCTTTTGCATTTTCTTGTTTACTCAACTTTTCGAACATCAGTTGCACTGACCTAAAATGATCTGTCAGTAATACAAAAAACATTTAGTTGGGCTATTCATTCATTGATTCATTCATTCATTCATTCGTTCATTCATTTTCTTTCCGGCTTAGTCTCTTTATTAATCTGGGGTCGCCAAAGCGGAATGAACCCCATTTGAATAATAATTTCAAATGATGTTAGCTGTTGTTTTAGGATACATCTAAAGATGTTTGTTGTTGTTGTTAATAATAATAATGACATTAATGTTATTATTGGTGTTCCTATTGTTTTTGTCAGTGTTAGCATTAGAAATACTGCAACCTTTATTTTTTTCAAGAGAGTAGGTCTGAGATTATTTCCTTTTGCATTTTCTTGTTCACTCAACTTTTCAAACATCAGTTGCACTGACCAAAAATTATCTGTCAGTAATACAAAAAACATTTAGTTGGGTTATTCATTCATTGATTCATTCATTGATTCATTCATTTTCTTTTCGGCTTAGTCTCTTTATTAATCTGGGGTCGCCAAAGCGAAATGAACCGCCAACTTATCCAGCATATGTTTTTTATGCAGCGGATGCCCTTCCAGCTGCAACCCATCTCTGAGAAAATTTGTTGAGGTAACATAAGATTATTAGTTTTCTGAAGAGTTGAACTACTCTGTAACAAAACTTTTTAAGTTGTGCCTACTGAATATTTTTTGTCTGCAAAACTGAAATGCCTGAAGTTGAGTGAAAAAACAAACAAACAAACAAACAAACAAAAACATAATCTTGCTTTTAAAAATATCAGTTGCACTGACCTAAAATGTCTGAAGTTGAGTGGACAAAAAAACTCTTGGAAATTGGTACTAAGAAATAATACATTATCAAAACAAACAAGCAGTTCAATAAAAATATTTAAAAATAAATAAAACATAGACAAACGTTAACAAAACATTTATTAGACTCAGAATTAGAAACAGGACAGGAGGCAAAACAACAAGACAAGGATCAAAACAAGGAAAAATGCTTTGTAATGCTTCACAGGGAAAAACAGGACTCAGCAAAGAGTCTGTGTGAAGGTGTCTTTAAAGTCCTAGTAATCAGTCCATCGTGAGCTTCCAGCTGAGTGTGTGTAATCAGGAGGAACCAGAAACTGGTTTTATTTATTACAGGATTTTACTGAGTTGTTCATGAAAATTAAATATAAAATACATTAGATTTCTCATTTGAAAGCATTTTGATTTATTATTTGAGCGTTTGATTTATTATTTGGGCAGTTGTTTTGAAAGTTTGATTTCTTTATTGGATATTTTAGGCATTTGAATTTTCATTTTCATTTTGTTAGGAAAAAAACTTAAACAGTTAAATACAAATTAACAGCCCACATGTGTTAAGCATTTCTTTTATAGAGTGAACTAGGTAAATTTGAGGTGAAAATTCCAGCCTGATTTCACGAAGAAACGTAAGTATTTTACGTTTCGTATGTTTAATAGCTAATTCGTACGAATTTGTACGAGTTTAGTTGTACAAAAATGTTAGATTTTAAAAAGGAGGCGTGGCACCCAACCCCACCCCTAACCCCAACCGTCATTGGGTGATGAACAAATCATACTAAATTGTACGAATTAGATTGTACGAATTTATACGAATTAGCCAATAAAATCAAAAAGTTACAAATTGCTGTGAGATTGTGTTAGAAAATTCACATTAAAAGTCTTGCTGCAGCTGACGCCCCACCCCCTCACCCCATTTGAATAATAATTTCAAATGATGTTAGCTGTTGTTTTAGGATACATCAAAAGATGTTTGTTGTTGTTGTTAATAATAATAATAATGACAATAATGTTATTATTGGTGTTCCTATTATTTTTGTCAGTGTTAGCATTAGATATACTGCAACCTTTATTTTTTCAAGAGAGTAGGTCTGAGATTAACTCAAAGTAACATGATGGTAGAAGCTTTTAGGTGAATTTGCAAGGTTTTGCTCACAAAACTAATAATTTTAACTTAAGGAAAATTTTGATTTAGGTTAAGTAAACGTGTTAAATGTAGCTGTACAGACATTCTTACTGATTTTTGGCAAAAAAAAAAAAGTAATTATTATTTTTTTTTTTTTTATGTTTACAGTGCATTTGAAACTTCGATGACACAATAAGGCTGTATTAGTAACTATTAGATAATGAATATACTGACATGAACAAACAATGAACAATAAATTAATTACAGTATCTATTAATCTTATATAAAGTTACTTAATGAAAATAAAGTTGTTTGTTGTTCATGTTGACCCACATATGTTAACAAGACACATCAACATACAGTGGAAGTCAAAATTATTAGCCCCCCTTTGATTTTTTTTTTTCTTTTTTAAATATTTCCCAAAATATGTTTAACGGAGCAAGAAATTTTTCACAGTATGTCTGATAATATTTTTACTTCTGGAATTTTTTCTTATTGGTTTTAATTTGGCTAGAATAAAAGAGGTTTTTAATTTTTTAACAACCATTTTAAGTTAAATTATTATTTATTTTTCTGATAGTCTACAGATCAAACCATCTTTATACAATAACTTGCCTAATTATGCTAACTTGCCTAGTTAACCTAATTAACCTAGTTATGCCTTTAAATGTCACTTGAAGCTGTATAGAAGTGTCTTGAAAAACATCTAGTCAAATATTATGTACCGTCATCATGGCAAAGATAAAATAAATCAGTTATTAGAAATGAGTTACTAAAACTATTATGTTTAGAAATGTGTTGAAACAATCTTCTCTCCGTTAAACAGAAATTGGAGGAAAAAATAAACAGGGGGCGAATAATTCTGATTTCAACTGTATATTGGCTAATGTTAACAAAAATGAATTTGGATTTTAATAAAGCATTAGTAAATGGTAAATAAATGCTTTAAAAATAAATACATTAACTAATGAAATCTTATCATAAAGTGTGACCGAAATGGCAACTATATCTCAAGAATCCGAGTCTTCTTTTCCAGCAGTGGTTGATTTTATTTTTGAAAAGTAACTTACGCTTTTAATTATGTTTTAAGCCTCTACGGGGGAACATGGTAATGTTATGGAGGCTGCAGGGGGTAAAAGCCATATGACACTATCTTGGAGTAAAAGAGTAAGAATGTTTGAGCTGTGCCGCTTCGCCTGCCAAACGCACATTTGTGTTGTGATGCTCCCCCAGACCTAACTGATTAAGCTGTTGCATGTGCAATTAAATCTAATTGGTCCTTTTCGAGTGAAGTTGTGGTTGTTGTACAAAGCCAAGCCAACAATGTTATGATCCAGGAACCCATGGCCTGCAGTGATAGAGTTTCGCTTTTGTGTGTATGTGTGTTGGTTTACTGCATGTGGCTTCAGTTATGTGGTATTGTTATGCTGGAATGTTTCTGTAGATTAGGATTAGCTTTGTTCTGTTCTATTGCTGGCTTAGGTGCTGCATTTCTAAGTTTTTCAAGTGATTTGTATTCCTGAACGTCTATCTTATGCCAGACGATTGAGACTCTGGGCCCTATCATACACTCAGCGCAATAAGGCGCAAGACGTGTATGGTGTGATTTGTTGTTGTTTTCCGACGAGCGCAACTGTAATTTTCATGTTTTGCACCACGTTGTTTAAAAAGCAAATGCACTGCTTTTTTCAGTTCATTCATGACAGTTTGCATCTGTATGTTATTATTAATAGCAGTATTATTTAGTATCTGCATTTTTGTATTTGTTTTATTAAAAACAAGTTTAGATTTGTCCACCTGTCGGGTTTTTGAGAGGCATGCATCACCATATAGGGCAGAAGAATAGGACGTAACTCAAATTATTGTTCCTTGATTAGTTTGCTGGAAATTAGAACTGAATTTAGAAATAGTTTAGAAACAAATCTTTGCTCTTAACAAACAAAATTAAATATGTAGGCTAATGAGTGTCTTCAGTGGAGTGCGTACAGCACAGTTTCCTTACTCAACCACAGTGAAGGAGTAAAGAGTGAAAATAAAGTAAAGAGGCCGAATGGAGGAGGCTCGTTCTTCATCCTTGTGCTGCAGATGGTCTGTTTAACTGTTTTCTTGCTAGTAAGCATTCAGTTTTTCAAGATACAAAGTCCACCATGTGAACAGCAAATGCACCATGGTGCAACGCAACTGACTCTTAAAGGGAACGGGAGATGAGACCCTGATTGGTTTAATGCAGGTTATGCTCAAAACACACATATAACTTATTAAGAGAATAAGCAAAACCGTATTTTTCCATCCTTAATATAGTGAATTCAGACACGCCATTAATGTTTTTTGCACCATGCGCATTAGAATACTTTGTGCTCAGAAGGTTAAAATAGAGCCCTATGTCATCAGTAATGAGATTACAGTCTGGAAACGCTTCAGAATATTATTTATGAGTTAAAAAAATTATTTTGCAAACAAAGACAGAAGATGTGATTGAAGCACAGTGGAATAAATGCATTAACACAGCAGTGACAGATAAAGTGGTACCTTGGCACTGGGGTTTCTTATTGGCTACTGCAGAGCCGCTGATTGGTCTGCCATTGGGCATCACACACCAGCAGTAACCAGTGTAGCTGTGGCACTGAACCTGTTATACACATTCAGCAAAAATATGGACAAAAAATTAAACATGTCAGTTAAATCCTTTAAATGCTTTCAAGAGCTCTTAATTTAATAGCTCTTCAAATATATCCATTCATCTATTGTTCCATGCACTGGTCTATTATTCCGTCTATCCATCCATATTGCTTCAATAGTTAATAAATCTAGCATCAGTTGTTGTATATATCTGTCCATCATTCTATTGTCTTTGAGTTTTATCCATCTAGCATCATGCTGTTCACCCGTCCATCCATCCATCCATCCATCCATCCATCCATCCATCCATCCATCCATCCATCCATCATGCTATCCATTTTTAGTTCTGTTCTTCTATTCATCATTCCATCATTTATCCATCACTTTCCATCCATCCATCCATCCATCCATCCATCCATCCATCCAACGTTTTATCCATCAATTGTTGTGTTTGTCCATCCATCCATCCATCCATCCATTATTCCATCCATCCATCCATGGTTCTATATTTTTATCTAGTCTTTATTCCATCCATCCATATTTCTGTCCACCCATGCATCATCCATATTATCATCCATCCATCCATCCATATATCCATCCATCCATAGTTCTATAGTTCTGCTGATACACATTTCATCCATCCATAGCTATATAGTTTTATCCAGTCATCATTCAGTCCCTCATTCCACCCATATCACATCATCTATTCATCCGTCCATCTATCTATCTATCTATCTATCTATCTATCTATCTATCTATCTATCTATCTATCTATCTATCTATCTATCTATCTATCTATCTATCTATCTATCTATCTATCTATCCATCCATCCATCCATCCATCCATCCATCCATCCATCCATCCATCCATCCATCCATCCATCCATCCATCCATCCATCCACCCATTATTCTGTAGTTCTATTAGGTCATCCCTTCATCCATCCATCATTACCATCCATCCCCATCCATCAATATTGTATTTTTGTATACATCAAGGCATCATTCTATACAACCATAAATCATTCTATCCATCCTTCCCCATCTATCTTTATTTTTCCTTCCTTCCTGCCTTCCTTCCTTCCTTCCTTCCTTCCTTCCTTACTTCCTGTATCCGTAACCATTTATTTTTTCCATCCATCTGACATAGTTCTATCCATTTAGTCATTATTTTCTCCATCCATCCATCCATACTTCCTTCCTCTGTCATAATTTTATCTATTCATCCATTGCTCTGTCCATCCATCCATCCATCCATCCATCCATCCATCATCATGTTCTATCCGTCCATAGATCTATATTATATCCAATAATTAATCCATCCATCCATCCATCCAGCCTTCCTTCTTTCCTTCCTTCCTTCCTTCCTTCCTTCCTCTGTCATAATTTTATCCATTCATCCATCTACCTATCCATCATCATCATGTTTTATCCATCCATAGTTCGAAATTATATCCAATAATTAATTTATTCATCCATCCATCCATCCATCCATCCATCCATCCATCATCATCATCATCATCATCATCATCATCATCATCATCATCATCATCATCATCATCATCTTGTTCCATCCATCCATAGTTCTTTATTAAATCCAATAATTAATCCATCCATCCAGAGTTCCATAGTTATATCTATTCATCCATCCTTTCATCAGTTCTACCCATCCAGCCATCATTCTGCCATTCCAGCCATCCTCTTACCTCACTGTAGGTTCCATCAGGATTGCAGACAGGCACAAAAACCTGTGGGAAGAGTTTCTTGGCTTGCTGCTCTGTGTATTTCTTCTCTGCAACACACTTGGGCGTATCTAGAGACACAACACGGGAAAATCCAGCAAGTTAGATAAACTACTAAACAGCTACCGTCTGTCATACTGTTGTGTAGACACAGAATGTGGTGATTAGAGAAACACATGTCCAGTGTAACATTTGCATATAATAAATCATGATAACACTGTTGATTAATTACCAATTCCTACTATTAAATAGTGGCTATTATTATTAAGATACTGGCTGCTTGTTAGTACTTTACACTTGTGTGGCATTGGCGGTGTTTTCATGGTGATTTTGAGACCTAATTTGGTATTTCAGCAAATGGAATGATTTTTGGTGACAAATCTTATTTTGACACATATTTTGATAAAATGCTTGACAATTATTGAAAAACTTAAAACACTCAAATGTAAATGTATATTACTCCTTTGTTATCTTAGTGTCTGTTTTTGCCCCATTGACTTCCATTAAAATGACATTTTTTGATTGCAAAGCCATGACAACATATTATTATGCATTCTTTATTGTTGGTGGTTTTACCTATTGGGAAGGTTTACAATTTGTAATTTTTGCAGTTTATCATCAGTTGGAGTGCAAAAGAAAAGCTGCACGCACACTATAATTTGCTGATTTACTCCATAGAACTCCATATAAATGTCAGAAACCTTTTTGCACAGGTCTATCTAAAGGGTTAATGGTGCCAACTGATGATTAACAGTATTAATGACAAGTTTTACCTCTTCCCAACAGGGAAAACTGCCAACAATCAAGAATTCATTATTATTTAGTGTCATGGCTGTGCTATCAGAAAATGGGGTTATAATGGAAGTCAATAGGGCAAAAACAGCCACTAACTAATGAAAAGGTAGTCAATTTAAGCAATACACAAGAGCTGAAGTATGATCTGATTCTACATCCCTATACCCAAAACCAACTAATATACTACCTTAATAACTATTAATAAACAGCAAATAAGTGGTCTGTTGAGCTAAAATAATACTTAATAGTATATTAATTGTGAGAATTGTAACTTAAAATAAAGTGTGACCAGATTATTTATCTGAAAATTATTATTTAATAGAAATCAAATAGGTTTGTAAACTGTGACAAAAAATTACCTAGTGTTCTTATCTGTGAATATGTTCAGTATATTTAATAGCTAATTCTTCTATTTATAAATTCATCTTCTTTATACTGTTTATCCTATACCTCATCCAAAGTTATTCATCAGTGCTACCGGATTCCCCGATAGAAATAAATACACGATGCCTCTGCTAATGGAGATCTTGAAAAGTACTACAAACTTGATGATTCATTCATTCACAAACTCTGTCTATCCTCTTTTCTATATATAACCCTAACCTTCATTTCCCATCATTCCACTTTAAACACACAGTCACCATTCTGCTCATTGTGTTAGTGTAATATAGAAAACAGAAAGATACAATTTTTGCAATATTACCTCTTCATAATCAGAATCAGAATCAGAATCAAAAATAGCTTTATTGCAAGGTATGTTTGCACATCTGAGGAATTTGTTTTTGTGACAGAGCTTCTACAGTGTAACAGAATTACAGAGACAGGACAAAAAAAGATAATAAATATATAAAAAAGCAGTAAGTTTGTTTTCCCTGTTAACAGGGAAAACAACTCAACAATCAAGAATTCATGAATATTTGGTATCGTTTGGTGTCGTCAAAAAAAAAAAAATGTCGTTATAATGAAAGTCAATGGGGCAAAAACAGCCACTAACATAACAAAAGGGTAGTCAATTTAAGTGAAGTTTCACAAACCAATTTCGAGAGGAGCTCGTAATATGATTGATTATGGCTGGTCTAGTTTTTTGTAATTATTAGTAAGCTAATCGGATTATTCCAAACTCACTATGAATAGCCCGTCTAGAATTACTCCATTATCTTTGTTTTCTGCATCTCACATCCACCCTATCTTTCCTCCTTTACCAGGGGGAGCTCCCGAGAACTACCTGATCTCGTACCCCCTTACATGCTTTTCGACCAGGTGGGAGCCCTGGGCTCAATTATCTCCGGGCTAAGGGTTCTCTACCAGGACAGCATGCCAAACCTGCTAATATTATCAAACAATATCTAAGTGTGAACTCTTGAAGTAATACACAAGAGTTAAAGTATAATCTGATTCTACATCCTTAGACCCAAACCCAAATACTATACTACCATAATAACAATTAAAAAGCAGCAAGTAGCAGTTTAATGAGGTAAAACTTATGATTAATAGTGAGAATTGTAACTTAAAATTAAAAAGTGTGACCAAAATTATGTATCTGTAAAATTATTGTAATAAAAAATGGGTTTGTCTAAACTGACATACAGCCGAGCAGGCACAGGACGTCAACATGACGTTGTACCCCAATTTTCAGCATTCCTTCATTCATTCATTTTCTTGTCGGCTTAGTCCCTTTATTATTCCGGGGTTGCCACAGCGGAATGAACCGCCAACTTATCCAGCAAGTTTTTACACAGCGGATGCCCTTCCAGCCGCAACCCATCTCTGGGAAACATCCACACAGACATTCACACACACACTCATACACTACGGACAAATTAGCCTACCAATTCACCTGTACTGCATGTCTTTGGACTGTGGGGGAAACCGGAGCACTCGGAGGAAAGAACCCGCAGGGAGAACATGCAAACTCCACACAGAAAAGCCGACTGAGCCGAGGTTCGAACCAGCGACCCAGCGACCTTTTTGCTGTAAGGCGACAGCACTACCTACTGCGCCACTGCCTCGCCCAATTTTCAGCATCAGAATCTTTGTTGTCATTGTACAAATACAACAAAATTTACATTTGCCCTTCCCTTTAGTGCTGTTCTAATTGTCTAAAACAACAACAATAATAACAAGAAGAGATAGAAAGGCAACAAAAATAATAAAAAATAATACTAATTCAATGTTAGAAGTGCATATAGTGTAATTTTTAGCAGCTTGTAAGTTAAAAAGTGAGTAAAATATTGGCCAGAAACGCAATCAATTTAGTGTCCGTTCATTATTGCAATGGTCCTGGGATATGTACTATTTTTCAGACTGGTTGTTTTGACTTTTATGGTCCTGTACCGCCTTCCTGAAGGTAACAACTGAAATACATGTTGTGCTGGATGCGTTGAGTCCTTCAGGATGCTGCGTGCTTTGCTGTAGCACTTGGCTTTGGACAACTTCTCTACGGAGGGAAGAGCGCAGCTGATGATTTTATGTACAGTGTTAATAACCCTTTCGAGAGCAGCTTTTTCCTGGGCAGTGCAGCTGGCACACCACCAGTACGACAGCACATTTTCAATGGTGCATCTGTAAAGGGACACTAGCAGTTCTTGGGCCATGTCGTTGTTTTTTAGCACCCTCAGGACTCTCTGTGAACAGTTACTGAGGAAATCTTGAATCCAGAGGCGGATGGAGAGAGGGAAGCCAAGATAGTTTAGTTTAGAAACCAGTGTTTTTGGAATTATTGTATTAAATGCAGAGCTAAAATTAATGAAGATAAGCCTGGCTTAGCTGTCTTTGTGTTCCAGATGGGTCAGGGTAGTGTGAAGGGCCTTAGCTATGGCATCCACTGTTGATCTATTTTCCCTGTTTGAAATTTGAATCCATTTTGGGTGGAATTGAAAATCAGGTTGACGTCAGAACCCAACGAAGATGTTGACTCAACTTTGGAGTCACTTTCCAACACAACCTAAAATCAACAATATATCAATGTCATTTCACGTCATTAATGGGTACGTCAAAATAACATTGTCATTATCAGTGGTGGAAAGAGTACTGAAAAATTCATACTAAAGTTAAAATACCATTACTTGCCTAAAAATGTAGTGCGAGTTAAAGTATCTGTTGTAAATATTACTAAAAATATGAGTAAAAAGTAGACCTTTCAAAAGTACTCAAGAATAGAAATGTAAAAGCTGATGCATTTACATTTGTCGATGTGGATGTGTGTAAAGGTAATATTATGTAGTGCATTTAGTTATTGCCCAGCAGGCACACAATGTCTTAAGATGTTAATATTAGGTTAGATTTAGGTTGTGATGACACGTGACCGAATTTCAAGGTCTAACCAGCATCTAAGGACATTGTTATTTTGATGTCCAATAACGACGTCAAATGACGTTGATATTGATGTTTGTTGTATTTAGACAATACAAGCCAACATTTTAAACCAACGTCATATTGACGTCAAATACTGACATTTATTCATTAGGTATGGCAACCAAAATCCAACGTCTGATAGACGTGATAGTGGTAACATCCACACAGCGTCAAGCTGTAAGATCATTACACGTTGATATTTGGTTGATTTTAAGTTGTGTTAGAAAGTGACCAAAATCCAACGACAAGCCAACATCTTAAACCAATGCCATATTAATGTCAAAAACTGACATTTATTCGTCAGGTATGGCAACCAACATCTGAAAGATGCCATAGTAGTATTGTCGACACAACATCAAGCTGTAACATTATTAGATGTTGATATTTGGTTGTTTTTAAATTGGACGTTGGATATTGACATTAGCCTGATGTTGTGCATGTTTACAATGCATGTAAAGATGTTGGACATCTTCTTGGACCCTTTTAATGCTTCAAAACAGTTTGCTGCAATTATAACTCGCCCATGTCTTGAGGTAGTTCATTATGATGCGATTTACCTTCTATATGTGATTTGATTGAACAGGAAGGACTGATTTTTTATTTCTCATTTACAAGAACAAATAGTGACTGCAAGTTAAAGGAAAGTTGTTGAGTAAAAGTACAGATACAACACTAAAATGTACTCAAGGGAAAGTAAAAGTACACATTTTTAAAACAACTTAACGAATTACGTTTTCTGAGAAAAAACTACTCAATTATAGTAGTTTGAGAATTTGTAATTTGTTACTTTACACCACTGGTCCTTAGATGCTGGTGACCTAAATCTAACCTAATATTAACGTCTTATGTGTCTGCTGGGAGTGTTCACATACAGCCTGATCTCACGAGGAAATTTAAGTATTTTACGTTTTGTCAGTTTAGA